GTCTAAAGACAATAGTGTTTTTCACTCATATTTAGCTATTTTTCCACGAATTCATTACTAAAAACTTTAGACAACTTTTACTTTCATTCATAGAGTATTAGACATTCATTCCACTTATAACTGAATTGCGGATTAAAAACCTAAATATCACTTATTATTTTTTATATAAACTAATTCTTTATCTATATTTTAGACTTGTAACGTTAGATTTAGCAAAATTTTTATATTTTAAAATTATTTTTAATTTTGAAACGTAAATAAAAAACACAATAACCAAAATGAGGATGATAAGTTATTATACTGTAAGTAAAGAATTTTTAATTTTACACGGTATTGATTTTAATATTTATTAAATATTTTGTAAAGTAAGTCGTTAATTAGTATTTATTATATAAATATTATATATAATTATAATTATATATTATATATATAAATAAATTTCTCATTTTCAAAAAAAATTAATTTTCTAAATTTTATACCGGTAATAATAAACAATAATATTATGTAAAGTTAATATTATTGTACATAAAGTTTAAGAATTTTGTAACCCTAAACTTCAATGTTTCTAAAATAATGCTTTTCAAAAGAATAAGCAAGATAAAATGATTCTTGTTGATTGTAATGATATTACTTTAATTTGGGGTTATATTGTTGTAAGTTATAATTAATCTCTAGTATTATCTTTAGGCAATAAATCTCTGTTTTCGTAAATTCTGAGAATTGTTGTGTTATTTCATTCTGAGAAACAAATAATCAATTTTAATATAACTTATCATTTGTTTGCAAGTTTTCCAGACAAATAAAGTTCATTGTCTTTTAACGTGTTATGAGTTTCATAAGTAATCGTAATGTTGTTTATTGTGCAAGAAATCATAAATTAATTGTAATAATAAACACATTATTTTAAGATATTTAAGAGTTTAATGAATAATAAATCACAAAATTCAATAAACCTGTGAAAAAATTGGACATTGAGTCAAATAATTGATGTATTTTTAATGGAAATAAATAATGAATTGTTTTATATTAAGAGTACAGTAATAAATGAATAAAACAATAAGTATTTATCAATAATGTATATAAAAAAGATGTTAACATAATTCAGACAGTGTTTGGATGTAATTAATGAACAAAATGACCAGAAAATTGGCTCTTATATGGTTTATAATAAGTAATCAAATATTAGCTGTTTTTCTGAGGCAAGGGCTGAGGCTTATTGTTGCCATTGATTACATTAACCTGTTTGCAAAAAAATAAGCAAATAAGTGACAATAATTGTATTGAATGGTGTTTCGTATGTTTATATAAGTCGATAGCAAACACATAAACATAATGAGAGAATAAGTTATAAAGAGTTTAGTGACCGGTTCTGTGATTCCATTTTCATGTTTTCCGAGGGCTTGACCTGAAGTCCAACCCATCTTCTCAAGCATTTGAAAGCCTTTATTAGATTTGGATAACGCACTGAACCAGAAATGGACAACAAACAATTAGACAAATAAAGCTTAAAAAGACATAAATTATTAGAAAGCCTTACGAATCGAGTGTAGTCCCGGCGGCTGTCTTTTCGTAGGGGTTGTCACTTCCCTTCTCGACTCTCCTCCTCTCCGCCCTATCCTTATAATTAGAGTTTGTAATTATCGGCACTTTTGGTTCGCAGAAATCATTGTCTTTGAGACCGTATTTCTTCTTAAGAGATTTTAACTGCTTTTTGCGGTCTTTCTCTTTGTCGGACTGTTCGTATAAATTACTACTATTTTGGTGACTGGACTTCAAATTGGCAATTACGAGACCCGGCTCACACCGGTCGCACGTCACATCTTTGCCGTTGTGGATGTGCACTAATAGCACACATTTTCCAAAACTTATTTCGCTGCTATGGCTCACTATTGTCGAGCAATTGCTTTCAATTTTGTTCCCATTAATGAATGTGCCGTTTGTACTGTTCAGGTCTTTTATCATATAATTATTGTCGTTATAATCATATCTAATCTCTGCGTGACTCTAACCGACACATCAAACAAACAAATCAATCAAATCTCATTCATACAAATCACAAACACTTCCAATCCTTACCCGACTCACAGATTCGTCGGTTATCCAGACGTCACAACTGGAATCGTTGCCAACTTTGGCGCCCATACACGACACTACCTGTAAAAGGCTCCCAATCTCTAGACTCGACGACTGCTTCACAATCATCCGCATGAGTGGTGGACTCACTTCTGACTTATCTTTAATTAATTACGATTATAATTATCGTTATCCCGAAACCAAAGCATTACAACAAACCCTCAATAACATGGAAATCTTGGGAGTCATCAGATATGACAGAATTGTCGTCAGAATCTCCTATTTCTCCCTCTTCTTCAGATGAACTGTCGCTGATATCAATGGTTTCCTTTTCACTCATTTTATTCACATTTTCTGATTCATCGAAATCTTCTTTCAATTTCTGAAATCATTTCAAACAATACTTTAATTATGAAATAAACACTTATTAATTGGCATTTAAGTTAAAAACCTTTGAAGTCTTGGATGTCTTGTTCATAGTTTGTCTCTTTTTGTCCATTTGTTTGAGTGATGAGTAGAAATTATAAACTTTTTTGTCGAAATCGTATTTATAATAGTTTTTGGTGTTTGGGTCATAAAATAGAGATGAATCCTATTATGAAAGCAATTCATTAGTGATTACTATTAGTATTCATTTGACAGTCAATTCAAAGTGTGAATCCATTACCGGATAGTAATACCAACCACTGCTGCGACTATAATAGGTCTTAGACTTCTGGTCGTAAACGTAATCGTTTTGAAAGTCATTGTTTGTCACAACCTCTTGAGCCGTCTCGCGGACCAAATCACTAATCCGTGTATTCTTTGTCTCAGAGTTTTGTTTCCAATCGTTGATAACATCACTGTTCACATCACCACAAGAAGTGATGGCATGACAACATTTGCCACAAACACTGCTATTATTAGTCACATATGGGCTCATGAGCGACAACTCTGTCTGTGTCTCAACACTGATGGTGTCTTTGGTGATCACCTTCTGATGCAAATGCAGTTTTGCGGACAATATCGACAACTCGTGCCTCAAATCGTTGTTATATTTCGTCGAAATCTCTTTCTCTCTCAAAAGCCTTTCAATCAATTGTTTGTCATTTCCATGGCTTTCGATGTCATTGTGAGAGACCAGTGGTTTGTCTTCATGTGGATCCATGTCTCCAAACATATGAAATAATAGTTTAATTTCAAAGTCTTGTCATTCAATTGAAATGCAATCGAAATCTCATTGAAAACACGAATTGAATGCAAAAATCAAAA